ACCTCGGTTCTCTCTAGATGAGGGAACGAGTATTGCGTAAGCTAGCTTACGCTACGGGAAAGATTCATCTTTGCTGAGAAGTTGAAGCCAAAAAATTATTCCATAATTTTGTAATAAAAAAAAAAAAAAAAAAAACGCAGTCTCTTCTGAGGCAGACCATGAGCGGGCTAGCTAGCGGCTCATTGGTTCGCTCAGAGAGAATGCACGAACCTATGGGAGAGCGGCGCTGAGTCCGCGGCCAATGAGCGGACGGCGCTCGCTCACTGCGTCACAGCCCGCCAAAAGGGGCGTGGCTACAGTGTATAAAGGTCGCTCTCCCAGCTCGTTCGTTGATTCTTTTTCATTCAGCGAGCTACACGCATCCGCTGTCCTGGGAAGAAGCCGCCGTCGTCGAGAAGGCAACCTCTAGCGAGCTCCGGAGTCTGAGGAAGCCGGCCGTCTGCCACCTTCAGCCGCCCAGCAAGCTAGCGCCATCCGACGCGTATCCTTTCTATTCCATATTAAAAGAGCACGAGCGTCTTTTTAAAGATGCCTCGTAATTCCTGCGGCTCATGCCGCTCTCCGCTCGAGGATGGAGACCGCCACCCCATCTGCGCTCTCTGTCTCGGAGTGGAACACGCAGAGCTCGCCCTCGCCAACGGAGGATGCGACCACTGCGAGGACCTGCCGCTGTCAACCCTGCGGGCTCGACTACAGGCGGTCAAAACCGCTCCAGCGCCGCCTCTCACTTCGCCGCGGAAGAAGAAACGCCGCTCCCAGAGGCCGCCGGAGCCCCCTGCGGATCCATGTGGGCCGCCGCCGCCGCCCACCGACCGCTCTCCCTCTCCGCCCCTGCCGGACTTACAGTTGCCGCCGAGTGGCCGCTCTGTCGCCTCCGAGGACACCGCGGATGAGAAGGACTCTTGTTCGCTGCACGCTTCTGACAGCGAGGAGTGGTCGTCGATCGGCTCATCGACGAGAGAGTCTGCGGGGACCCGCGCCGGCATCGAAGAGGAACTAACGCGCCTCCTTTCACAGGCCGTTAGCCGCCTGGGTCTCGAGTGGTCTCCTCCCCCTGAGCAACCACCGAACCGCATGGATGGGAAGTTCCTGCACCGGCGCCCGGCCCCCGCCTGCAGCCGGGCTGCGCCATTCCTGCCTGAGTTACACAACGAGCTCACGAAATCCTGGAATGCTCCTCTTTCGGCTCGCAATCGCTCCGATGTGTCCGCTTCGCTGCGCTCAGTGGACAGAGCCGCCGAGAAGGGTTATACTGCCATGCCGCCCGTCGAGGACTCGGTTGCCGCTCATCTCTGCCCGCCCTCTGCTAGATGGCGTTCTTCCCATACGCTTCCCTCTAAAGCGTGCAGAGCGACCTCGAACTTCCATGCCCGCGCCTATTCCGCCGCCGGTCAGTTTCGCTCTCCCATAGGTTCGTGCATTCTCTCTGAGCGAACCAATGAGCCGCTAGCTAGCCCGCTCATGGTCTGCCTCAGAAGAGACTGCGTTGACAATGATTACAAAATTATGGAATAATTTTTTGGCTTCAACTTCTCAGCAAAGATGAATCTTTCCCGTAGCGTAAGCTAGCTTACGCAATACGAGAGAACCTCGTAAGAGAACTTGTAATACATTTTTTGTTTGTCTTGATGCAAGTAATCAACTCAGTGATTTTCATGATGATATCTAAAGGTTAAAATTTTTACCCTATTCACGTGAGAAAAAGAAATCTAAAGGTTAAAATTTTTACCCTATTCACGTGAGAAAAAGAATGAATGCGTATGAATGGGATATATTTGGGTCTTTTTCTAAACTTTCCCCTAATGGGATTCTTCTGGGCTTTTTTTTCCTTACTCAGGACATATTGAGGATACAAAATCGGTTGAGTTTGCTTCTGTTGCAATTTGTTCAACCTTTTTTCATAAAATGACTGGACTAACAATACAAAAGAGATCATACTGTCAGTGAATGTCCTCCTGACACACACACACAAACACACGACACACAGAAAGACGCGCACCAATATCGAGTTATCTTTTACGCTTGAACAATAACACACACATTTATGTCTGTTTTGTCGAGTATCCTCACAGTCTTAACAGTCTTAAATGAGTTAAAATCTTAAATAGAAGCGAGAAATAGAAATAGAAGAAATAGAAATAGTAGTGAGAGAATGAGATGCGGCAGATCTTAAAGTGACAGCGGCACTTATTCTCTCTGTCTGTGAAGTTAAAGCAGCATTATGACATTTTTTAAATCTTGTTTTCAGGGTCCCCCTGCAGTTGGGAAACAGTATTGTCTTCTACTACTGTTGTAAAATCTGTCATGGTTACACTAGGGAATAGACGCGTGCGTTTGTTGACAAGCGATCCCCGAACTCCTCAGAAGGAAGGGGTTGTCACATCTTGGGCACACTCCAGTGTTGTGTGTGAAATGTCTTCATCACAGGTACATAAAGCACGTCATATGAATATAGTGTCATGGGCTTTATTTTTTTCAAACGTTAAAAGATCGCAGAGCTCACGTTTACAAGCCAGCGTCTTTATAGTAGGCTAACGTTAACCTATTGGCTAGTGGCTACTGTTTTACATCATGGATATGCTAATTCAATCTTTGTGTGGTAGATAATAGCCATATCGTCAATATTATAATATCAAGCTGCAATGAATCTGCAAATTTAAAAGATTGATTTGCATTATAGCCTGAGGCTAGACACTTTCACCAGAAAAATAAATAACAAACATGACTATCAGCCTGTAGACATATGATAGTTATCCTGACCGATTATTTTGTCCATCTAGTCATATATTATTTACAAGAATGTAGCCCTACCAAACTCAGTAATCAGAGTACTTTCACGTCTCGAGCTGGTGCGAGCTGCCCGCCCCGGCTCTACGGGGATGCTTGAGTGTCTTCAGCGCCCTCAAAAGAAGCAATGCAGTCTACATTGGATGCGGCAGCCCGTTCTCATCCCAAGACGTCATATAACTTTTGACCATACGTCAACATCCGACATTTTAGGGTACCCTTTAACGTCAGTTAGATGACGCTATCTAATCCTAATCCTACCCCGGACCTAAACCTACCCGCGTCATCTAACTGACGTTAAAGTTAAAGCGTCAGTTGGATGACGCCCTAGGATCGCCATCTAACTGACGTTAAAGGGTGCCCTAAAATGTTGGATGTTGACGTATGGTCAAAGTTACCCCGAAGTTACAGAGTGCCAGTAAAAGCGATACAGACCACGTCAGGCTATGGCAGACCTGTCAATCAACCTATTGTAAGTCGATGTACCATCTCAAGGGTTTTGAAAAAATATAATAAAGGTTGAATAAGTTGCATAGTGCTGCTTTAACCAAAGAACAAAGGGAACAGAGAAAATCACTCACTGCTCTTGACTAAAGAACGCTTGTAGCTTTAATAAGGATTAATCCATGTTTCATTTATAATTTATGCAGTCCGGACTGTTTTATAACCTTATTCACTTTCTGTATATTTCATGCCTGTTAGACAGGAAAGGTAAATATACCTGTATTTCTTTCTTTTTTTCTTTCTTTCTTTCTTTCTTTCTTTCTTTCTTTCTTTCTTTCTTTCTTTCTTTCTTTTGTAATACTGTTTTGTATTGCTTTTTCTTGAACACTTACACAACAATGTACATCACATGTCAGTAACATCGCATATAATGTGCAAAAACAAAACTAAAACAAAAACAAAAAAAGTGCAATAGCACAAACCACATTGGATAACAAAGTATGTACTTTGGAGGCCAGAGTTAACAATACACTGCAATCAGTAATAGCCACAGATAAGAGAAATACAATAAAATGGGGTTAGTGCAAATTAAAATATATTTTCAAATGAATATAATACCTAATCAAGCTTTTTGTTCCTCCTCTATAATATTATTGACATCCCCATGCTCAATAAATAATAAAAAGGGACTCCAAATCCTCTTAAATTGGTTAATCTTCTTTACCCTGAAGAATGTTCTCTTTCCCCGCAATGCATGAAGATATTTCTCTAAACCATCGAGTTATTGTAGGCCTTTCTATCTTTCTCCAATAAATGCCGATGAGCCGTTTGGCATGTAGAAAACACATGTCTATCAATATCTTTTTAAATTGTCCAGTTATCTAAATGAATCCCAATAATGAGAAGCCCAGGATCCAGTGGCAATCTCACTGAGACTATATGCCATATCATATTATTCAGTTTCTTTCCAAAACTCTTTTATTCACCACATTCCCACACACAATGAATTAGTGTGCCTTTTGCACTGTTACATTTAAAACAGGTATCTGGTATGTTGCTATAAATTTTGTTTAGTTTTACCGGAGTTAAATGGGTATGCATAAGCCAATTGTCCTGTAATAGTTTTAGTCTGCTGTTAAATGTCTGTATTTGGGCTTTTGCACATGTTTGCTCCCATTTTTCCATATCTATCATCAATCCCAGGTCTTGTCCCCACATGGCTAGTCTGAATGTAGATGAACCCAACAATAACATTATAGTGTATAAACAAGATATGCGTCCTCCACCAAGGCTTGGTTTAGATACACATTTCTCCAGAATAGTTAGCTCTGGCTCAGCAAGTCCTTGCCCCCGGGCAGTACGTATAACATTCCTAATTTGCAAATATTTATAATAATGTTTTTAGGGATTTTGAACTTGACATTCAAAATCTAATGACATTAGATCGCCATCTTTGTATTGATCCTTATAACTTTCCACACACCATTCTGAGCCCAGAGTTGAAAGCCTAAATCTCGACCAGGTACATTTGGTCATTTAGCAGACACTTTTATCCAAAGCGACTCACATCTGAGGACTAAACCAAATACGTCATCGTGAAGAGGCAATAACAACACAAGAAGTGCTCAAAATACAAAGTTCAGCTCAGAGTACCATAAACCAGGAAATGAGGATTTATTTTTTTCTTTATTTGACACAATCTGGAATCCTAAGTATGTAAATTAACCTGTAATGTTAAGACTGGAAGTAATTAAAAAGTGTTTAATTACCTTGTGATGATCTGAAGAGAAGCTCCAGTGTTTGAGCAGATTGAGTTTATACACTTACAAATGCCATTACTCCTGATATCTTACCGTAGACCAATCACAACTGAGTTTATACACTTACAGACGCCACTGTTCCTGATATCTTACCGTAGACCAATCACAACTGAGTTTATACACTTACAGACGCCACTGCTCCTGATATCTTACCGTAGATCAATCACAACTGAGTTTATGAAGCCACTCCTCCTGACAGTGTGAAGTCCCGCCAAACCAGTCAGACAGTAACAGGAGTAGTTTGTACGAACAAAGTTTATGAAAAGCTCACAAACCAAGTCATATCTCAGATCTGACTCCAGTCAGTCAAGTTTTTCAGGTATAACTTCCCGTCTGTCTTCTGTGTGTACTCTCCAGCTCATGCACTTTTTAAAACTCTACACACATAACAAGTAATGAAACAGATAACCAGTCTAGAGATGGTCAAACTGTTGTTATATGATGATATTTTCTTGATCTGGTAATAACTCAGCTGCTGTATTTTGCTCTATAACTGTAGTTTGTTGATGAATGATCAGGATAATCTAGTAATGATTACAGTAATGAGTCATGAATGCGTGAAGAGTTTCTGCTTCAGAAACATGTTCTGTATTTTGGTGTTTCTGAGGTGAATAACGCTGAGAACCCAGAGAACCCAGAGAAATCCATGTATGTGTCACGATACAAGGAATAAACTTTAAATAAAATGTTTTTTTGTTTTTTTTAATAAGGTGAATATTTCTTGCTAATTAAAATTAAAAATCACAATGCCACGCACCCTCTTCTTTCCTTGCTGACTCATCTCAGACATGGATGGCAAGCTCAGCTCTATTATTGTTTTAATAAATAGCATTTACTTAACAACATGATTTTTGTGAGAATAGATAAAAAGAGGTGACTAAAGAATCTCTATAACAAAAAAAAAATCTTGACCCATTCTTGATCAGGATAAGACAAAGCACGATTTGGACAACTGATACATGTACCCGCTCATTATATAAACCTTTGAACATTTTGAACACAAAAAGCTAAGCACTAAAACTTTAAAACAAGACAACTTAGCCAGTCGCCCTCCTGTGGTGAATTGTGTGAATTACACTGCTGTAACTTATTTCTACAGCTGTGACTGCAGTCAGAGGAAAACTTTGAGTTACAATATTTTGTAACATTTAATAAATTGTTGGTTGCCATGTGACGCAGTAAAACATCTGGCAATTACCTTTCAAATTTTCTATAAATATATTTTGCATCCGCGATCAGGAGCGGTTCTAGGGTGAGTGGATATCTGGGGCTTAACCCAGAGAAATCCATGTATGTGTCACGATACAAGAAATAAACTTTTTTTTTTTTTAACAAGTTGAATATCTCTTGCGAATTAAAATTAAAAATCACAATGCCACGCACCCTCTTCTTTCCTTGCTGACTCATCTCAGACATGGTTAGCAAGCTCAGCTCTATTATTGTTTTAATAAATAGCATTTACTTAACAACATGATTTTTGTGAGAATAGATAAAAAGAGGTGACTAAAGAATCTCTATAATAACAACAAAAAAATCCTGACCCATTCTTCATGCACACATTACATTTTAAAGACTAATAAGACTACCTACCTTACCTTTTGTGTGTGCGCCGCGCGTGCACGTCCTATTGACTGTGCTGCACAAAGTGTTTGACGATCAAAATGTATATCTGACAATCTAAAGAAAGAAATCTAATACTACGATTAAAAGTTACAGATACCTGCTGAAGCTGTTGTATCTTGTTTTAGTAATGGCTGGGGGTGTTTTAATTCCTTTTTCTTTTTTTTTGGAAGAACTTTGATAGCATCCATTTTACTCGTTCATTACTAACTTCTTGCACATCAACAAACACCTGGCTCCAAAATATTTAATTTCATTGGCTAGATCGTACAAGACCGCCGAGCTTCTCATCGATGGTTGGCCAGTTTACATGTCAGTCAGAAGCACTAGCCTGAGTGGGCGGTTCTTGTCGGTTGTGAATGACAATGTATGTTGACGGACGCTGTGATGCGAGAGTCGAGAAATATACATTTAATTAATTAAATTCTCTCAGTGATGGTGTGTACAATGCAAGGAAATAAAAACATTCGGGGTTTTACTGAAAACAGCCCCCTTAGCCCACCCCTAGCGCCGCCCCTGTCTGCGATATTCTGTTGAAAATGGAGTTTAATCGCCCTCCTGTGGTGAACTGTGTGAATTACACTGCTGAACCGTATTCAGAGCGCCAGAGGAAAACTGCACTAAACTCTGCACTTACTTTGCATTTATTTCACATTGTTTGATAAATTATTAATTTAAAGCGACATAGTAAAAAAAATCTAGAAAAGTTCGCTTTTGTTTAATGAAAATATATTCTTATATCTGTAATATCAATTTAAAGACTCACGTCTAAACGCCCTCCTGTGGTGAATTGTGTGCATTACACTGCTGTTAATTATCTAATTTCTGTTAACCTTCAGGGATGGGCAGTATTTCAGATACATGTATTTAAAATACGTATTTGAAATACAAAATACTATTTTGTATTTTAAAGCCTTTGGAAAAAAATCAAATGTAATTTGTATTTAAATACATTTAGGATGAGTATTTTTGTATTTTCAAAAAAAATACAAAAAAATCAAATATATATATATATATATATCAGTGATTCTTGGGAATTTGGATAAAACAGGTTTTAATTTTGAAAATAAAAAGTTAGTTAAATTACAAAATCTGAAGGTATATCATTATAAAGCAAGGTCTTGGCTGTTCAGCAATGCACCGGTGCAACCTCCTCATTTTGTATTTTTTTCATAAAATAGGCATTTCTCCAGTTATCACTTTGTTTTTGTCAACACCGTCAGACAAAATAAATAGCAAATTATTTTTTATTTGTTTGGTCTAATATGTATTTAGAGTTTTTAAATCATTATCTGGCATTCTTGGTACACATATATGCTGTTAAATGTTGAATATTCACTTTTGTTCATTTTTTATACTGTTTTGCGTGTACTCCTTTAAAAGATATAACATCATACAACATTTACTTTAAGCCTAAATAGAAAAATTAATGTTGTTTTATTTAACAAACATATTTTTGTATTAAAAGAGACTATTACTTTAATAACTCAACAGCACTGAAGAATCATATTTCAAGTATATTCATTTAAAACCAATAAAACTCCTTCTGACGGTGGTGACATTAATCTGACGGTGGTGACTGTGGCCTCTTTACAACATACAATTCCACAATGTATACCACTCAAGTCAATCAATTCTTGCTTAACAACTTCATTTAACTCTTTGGTCCAAAAAATAACAATCTTGAGCACTGTGATAAACATTTTTTTCCTTTTATGAGGTATTCCTCATTTAACTCTGCCTCACTGTGTATTTTCTCTCTCAGCTTTTTTTTTGTATTCCCTGTTTCTTCTCCTTCTCTCCTCTATATAGCTGCTGCCTAGCCATAACTTTCGAAAATACATAAAGTCAAAGTTGAGTGTAATGACTATGAAATTGGGGGTAAATACAGCGAATGTTAGATTTGTTTAAATGATGTCATGCCATTTTCATTTGGCTTTAGTCATTGGAGATGCATAGCCTGGAATGGATAGTGCATACTATGTGCTGTGTAGGGAGTAGCTGCACTATGTGCATCCTTAGTTCTGGTTAGTTCTGGCAGGTCACATTAGTCAAGCTCGCATCAGCCGACTATTAGCTGATCCACCTCCTGGAATATGACGCCTATCACTGTACACATATATAAGCTCCTTCAGTATTATCAGCAGCTATCACATTTCTCAGGAGCTCATTACCCTCCTCCCTCCCCAGCTCCACTCGTCAGTCAGGACTTGACATTCTGATTCCCCAAGAATCTGAATAAATTCTCGAATTATATTGTACTTTAAATTTTGAAATAATCTGCAAAACATTCATGTTGGTTCTGTTCTGTTTACCCCAAGGGGGTTATTGCTGCTCCTATCCATGCTAGGCTTTAACAAATTTTTAGTGTGGGCAAAAATCTAAATGAACGTCATGAAACACAATTTAATCGCATCAAACGTGTTCAGATTAGAACTGCTGTATTCCTGCAGCTGAACCACAGCCGTGAGGATATCAGGAAACATCCTCACTCTCACTCGCGCTAATAGCATGCAGTGTAAGCCTGTATGGAAGAAATATAGGGGGAATTAAATAAATAAAAATATTAAAGAGGTGAATGGAACATTACAGATAATATATTGGTATTTATTGTGATCAACAATTATATTCTAGCCTCTGTTATAGACCATTTGGGGGGTTTTGTCACCACCGTCACACAGTATGTCACCACCGTCAGATAGAAAACCTGACGGTGGTGACGTCTGACGGTGGTGACAAAACCTACTCTTTTACATGATATGCATGAGTTGTTCACATTATAGCCATCTTGTTTCCCCTCTGTTGCTAGCTACTTCAGACCTCTTCTTAAAAAGTATACAATTATGTCATAATCTAATCTAATATTTCTATACAAAGAGACGGTGTTGACATGTTATGGTTGTGACAGTAGCAGTGCCCAAATATATGAACAAGTTTAAGAGAAAATAGCAAAATTACGGGAGCTTGAGTGATCTTGAAGCATGCTGTAAATCTGAAGGTTTGAAAATGGGGTATGGAGGAATGTAGTTGACCTTCTGGTTGCCTGATTTTATTGCTTTTTATAAATATCTGACGGTGGTGACGAATATGTGGGACACATTTTGAACAGCCACAAAATAATAGTAAATATTGTTCAAAACTCACTGTTTGTAGTTTTTAATACATATTACAATGTACTCTTTTGTGTGGTAAATATATTATTCAATTCAATTATTCCTTTTTGTTTTTTTAATCAAGTTGAAATGATTATCTCCTATCCGAGGACAGCTGATTTTGTAGGCAATGGGCCAGCATATAATCATTAAAATAATAAAAATGAAAAATAAACCTATAAAAGAACCTTACATATGTGCAAAGGACCCCCTGATTATAAACTTGATTCTTTTCATTCATGAAAATGTTATTAATTTCCAACAGAATTAGCACTTTTTTTAGTGGGACATGTTTTTGCCAAAGTTTCAAGAATCAGTGATATATATGAGCTATATAGAGAGAGATCAGATCAGATTCATAACGTTTATGAAAACATAAATGCAGTT